TGGGATGCAGTTTCCCGTGTGGTGTAGTCAGATACAGGTTGTGGGTAGTGGGTCCACACTATATCAGGAAGACACACCCCACTGGGCCCTGTGTGGCCCAGACTGCATCGGGATCCAAGGCTATGCGTGACATCAGTGGAGACAGGTGCACTGCCCCTGCCCACCCAGCTCACTGCACTGTTGTGGGGCCCTGGTGACAGAAGTACCTCAGCGGCCATGGTAAGTGGCAGTCAGGAAGGCACTCCCTGTGAGATTACCTGCTCTCTCCCCATCTAGGTACCCCCTACTCCTGCCAGCAAAGAAACAACCATAATAACCATCAGACATTAATAGTGTTATGAATAGGGTAGCATGATCTGTGCTCTTCTGAAAGCCAATGTGAGAAATGATTTACTTGGATAATCACAGTACATCCTTGCTGTAAGCCTATGTGACAGGCACTATTATAGGCTGCACATCACTGGAGATGACACCCAGGCCTGTGATGGCTGAGCAACTTGCCCACATCATGATGTGAAAGAGGAGCAACAGGAGACTCAAGATCCAAACCCAGATCACATGATTCAAGAGCCAAATTTGACTGCTGTGCTGTGCTGCAGATCAAGTGGGCAAAGTAAAAATGTTAGTATTCTCACTTATACATATTTGAAGCTAAATAGGATTGTTTTTCTAGGCTGGCCTTTAACTTCACTATTCTTTAGTCTGATTTTATGGGAGATTTTATTCTGAGTTCTAAGTAACCTAAGGATTTTGGGGACATCAATCATTGATTCACTGGGGAAGGCTAGTATTTCCTTCAGTCCTGGAGTCAACATTTAGGGAGGATGTTGACCAAGTATGTTTATCCAGAAAGTGGTCCGTGTGCAGTATCTGGAAACAAGGTCATCTGAAGGACGCCTGTGGGAGCTGAGCAAGCTTCACTTGGAAGAGGAAGGCTTGTGAGCAGAGCAAGGGCTTCTCATTGTTGTAATGGTAAAACCATAAAGCTAGTATGATCTAAGATCCCTGAATAAACTTCTACGTGATCAAATCAAGTCTTCTGACACTAATTTACATTTACACTTTGATGACTTCCAAATTAATGTCTTTGGCTAACCTGCTCTTGCCTTCTCTGGATTTATAAATTGAAGGCCTACTCAACATGTCTGCCGGGTATCTAACATGCATCTGAAACATTACATGGCCACTATCAAGCTCCTACTTGTCACTACAGTGATCCATGCGCTTGGCCCCAGTCTAGTGGCCCTACCATCTGTGCACTGGTTCAGACCAAAAATCTCACCATTGCCTTCATTCCTCCCTCCCTCTCTGTCTCCTTTTCTCCCTCTGCCAACTCTACATGCAGTCATCAGTCAGCCTTGCAGGTGGCTCTGCTTCCTTTCACTTCCTCCAGTTCCACTCTAATCTTATCTGTAAGTGTTTTTGCTCAGGACCACTCTAGGCACATATACATTGCAAACATCTACTCTCCTGCTGCCCTTAGTCTCAGCACCTGTGAGTATTGTCACCTTACTAACAGAAAGGACTTGTAGATGTGGTTAGAGTTAAGGACCTTGAGATTTTCCTGGGTTTTCTGGGTAGGTCATGTGCCCAAGTGGGGGTGGCCTTTTGCTCCCTCTTATCCTCCATGGAGTTGCGGTCCTGCTGGCACCCCACTTCTCCCACCCTCTCTCCTGCTCCACCAGACCTGCATGGATCCCATCTGCAGGCCTCACCTCTCCTGGGGTCTTGTTTCACTGTAAGTCTCTTCTGAACCGTCCTCTCTGAAGGGGAAAACTTCCCTGACCGTTAAAGCAGATCCTACCTTTCTTATGAATTCACATAGCTTTCTGAAAACAATCACTTGTATCAGCTATATCATGCACAATTTTTATACTCCTTTCTAGCATCCTCAATAGCAAACCTATAGTCTTTTTTTTTTAAAAAAATATTTATTTATTTAGTGTGTGTGTGGCCAGCTCAGCCCACCAGGGGACAGGGCTGACTGGCATGTGGTGCTGGGGGATTGAACCAGGGTCCCTGTGCTTTGCTTAGCTTAGCTTGTTCTAAGTAGGTGCTTTAGACCACTGAGCCATCTCACCAGCCCCAAACCTATAGTCTTAACCATCATGTTTCTTATAGAATAGAAATTGTGAATGATTTTAATAGTCATTGGAGCAGCTTATAAGGTGTGAGATTAGCCACTGCTTCTGTATTTGGTACAGGATCTCACTGTGTAGCTCCGACTCATAATGATTCTCCTGTCTTAGCCTCCCTAGAACTGGGATTATAGGTGTGCACCACCATGCCAGCATGCCCTCGGGGCGGGGCCGGATTGGCTTATGGTGCTGGGAATTGAACCACCACCATCCCTGTGCTTGCTTAGCATGTGCTTAGTCTCCTGAGATATCTTGCTGGCCTTAGCTGCTGCTTCTGAAGTTATTAATGCACAAACAAAGTACCTGGTACACAGCTTGTCAATATCTGGGAAATACATAAATGAATTTCATAAGAATGTATAGGTGTATTAAAATGAATATCATTAATTACTTTTACGTAAGTTTAACATTAGAAGGCAGATATTTGATTAAATCTTTTCTTTTGATTATAAGAATAATGTATACTGTAGTGAAAATTTTATTTTGTTTTTCTATTTTAATTTTTTTACTAGATTGCAAAATGAAAATAAATTATTTACAAACATAAATGAATATAACAATAAAAATTGTCCAAAATAAAAATGAAGAAAGAATTTACAGATCAGTCATAATAGTTCACTGTGTCAAAACCAAGAAACTTATATACATATAATTAGAATTTTCAAAGTAGGAAGAAATAGCCAATAAATACTTAAAGATTTAAAATTTCTGAATTTAGTTCAACTTATAATACTACATTTCCCAGAAAAATGAACCTTTTGCACAAGAAATTTAAATAAAACCATACCAAGATACACAAAAATGAAATTGTTCAAAACTTATTGTAAAGAGAAAATCATTAAAACATATACATAAAAAATATTAGCTATGGAAGAACAAAATTAAATAGCATCTTATTCCACATTAGAAAGAAAAAAAAAGGATCAAGGGTGTAAGAAACTAGACTAATTAAAGGACTGAAAGAAAAGAAAAGATCTGTCCTCTTT